CAAGGACTACTCAGGTTGTCACGAGCTATTTCATGCTGACTGTAGCACTAGACATGCTGTCCAGGGCCTAGATTAAAGTAAAATTCGTGACAGTTTTCATTTCAAAATCGTTTTCAAAAGTGATTGTGTTCGCTCGAATGCGGAAAATTCCATTGGTTAGCATTGATCGAGCTTCCACAGAAATACTCACGCCCGTATTCACAAACATTACTATGAGGTCTCACAGTGCGCGTGGACGCACAGGGTGATACACGAACCAATCACAGAGCTCTATCAACGCTGTGCGTTCGATTTGCTGTTTCACTTAAGCAAGCATCGTTTGTGAATACGGGCGTCAATCTTTTAGTAAAAGGTTTTGCATAATCCTTTTCTGGTTGTGTAACAATCTGTGAGATGATATAAACATTTTTTTTATTTGTGACATAAACTTTGCTTCTGGTGAAGCATGTAGGTATTTAGGCAAGTTACGAGGTAAAGGTCTACCTAATGTGTAAAAGTGTTTCATAAAAAACAACTTTGCTATAGTAAATGAATTTAATTTCAATGAACGAGTAATTTTGTACATACACCTATGAAATTAAATTTATCCATTCATACCAAAAGCAATCATCCATTCATACCAAAAGCAATCAATCAATGAATAACAGAAATTGGCCAAATTAATTTTCCACGGATTCTATGTTGGTAGGTACCTACAAGTTTCCCAGAACTACGTGGTTTATTAGAAACTACTAAATGAATACACGTGATTGGTATTGCTAGGTAAACTTCACGATCTGTCAATAAACGATATACCTATTGTTAACGTTCACCATGACCTATTCAAGCTGTTATAAAGGTAATTAATTTATGATTTTGATCTTGAGACCATACGTCATCATTACCATTTCAGCCAAAGGCGGCTACTGCTGGACAAAAGATTATAAGATTGTTTATTCACCAAGACAAGGTAATACAACAAGGTACAGCGCGGCTTATCTCACCAGCAAAGGCCTCTCCCAAAGATTATCACAATGATTGGTCCTACGCTGCTCCTAATCCAGGTGCTTCCACTTCTGGATCACCAGATCGCCTTTGCCAAAACAATAATTGTTTTCTCAGCTTACTTATAATCACGTCTTTTTGAGTCACTTTTTAATACTTATAAAAACATAGGTACTCATTCATAGTTAGGCTAGATGAAAAAATTACAATTATTTGTCCGTCAGACAGATACATATTTCGATTTCATTACCCAGTCATCATCCCAATTCCACAAATTCCAAAACTAAAGAACTGATGAAAAGTACTTTTGACGTATTATTTTCACAATTTCTTTTCAAACTGTTACAGATTTATTTTTTCTTTTTATTGCAGTCATTCACAATCTCTTTTTTTTGGGCAAACCGCTATGAAATTCCTAGAACTTCTTTCCATAATGAAAGATTCATTGAGCTACGCTGAAATTGTCGCCTTAAGTTAATGTAAGTATTTTAAGGCTTATCTACTAGATTTCGGAGTAATGGACTAATCATTTTGTAAAAAATATAAAGGAAAACTTCATAGTAAATGAGGATTGAGGTCGGAGTACGAAATAAGCTCTGTTTCTTCGCGGGTAAAGCGTTTGAGAAAATATAACAAAAAAAAACAATGTAGGTACATAATACGAGTAAATGAGATTATTGATTATTTGATTGTCTCTACAAAAAAGTGCATGTCGCCAGTATAATACAAACGACTGCTGCTACTAAGTATAATATTATGTAATGTATTGTAATTAATGTAATGTATGCATTCTATGTATTTATTTTGGTTATCATGCTTGATGAAACCAATGATACAATCACTTTTTTGGACGTCAAAGAAAAAGCCTGATGGTAACTAAAAATATTATTTATTTGTTAAATTCTCAAAGGCCTACAGTACTTTAAAAACTCGATTAAACTAAATATTTAAGGTAAATAAGTGCGGAATAGTAATCATAAAGTATTTTTTGTTGTTTATTAACTTTTTAATGCAAAAAATATTAAATTTCGTATTTAAGGTAAAAAGGTTTGAAGAATATAAAAACCTTTGATGGTAAAAAGTAACCTTACCGACAGGAAAATAATATTTACATTTTTTCATATTGTTTAGATCTGTAGACATGGCAATGTGAAAGGTTATTGTCCTTTTGAATGAAATGTTTAATTGTAATTAATTTTAAAAGCGAATTCTAATTAATCATTGCTAAGTATGCTAATTAATATAATGTTAATTAACTTATTCGTGAGATAAGATTGTCTCAACTAGTGCCCTCATAACCTAGCTCATTATAAATAAAACTTAGAATGACGACTAATTGCAATTATTGTTACTGTCTTATGAACTAAATAAATTAGGTATCTTTCTTTGTACTCGTAATTGACGCGACGATTTGAGATGACATACCTACACTAGTTTTCACGTTCGGTAAGATAGTTTCGGAAAAATGCTCTAAGTTCATATCTTTTACAGATTATGATAATAATATGGTGGCATGGTGGCATGTTTATTAGATTCACGTATTTTAAGATTTCCTTTCATTCGATTTATCAAGTTTGTTAGAGAGATTTCATCCTTAACGATTGATGCAATAAAAATACAGGGTGTAATTTTTAATAGATTTTAGTTGGTTTGATTCTAGGGTGAGCAAATTTTTGGAAATATTTGAATGCAATTTTATTTAAATAAAGGGATGTTTTTTCTTTAGGTAATATTTTCTAACTACAGTAAGTAGGTATTAAGAGTACTTTCCCTCCAAGTGGCATTACAGAATTCCAACCTGTATGTATAAGACTTAATGTTCACTATTTATTTTGCACTCAACGGAATTTGAACCCACAACGGAAGCTGACGTTGTGATGAGTCAAGTGGCCGTCAAACATCCTCAATGTATAAGCTTTATTAAATTCATCTTTTATCTTTTACTAGCTGACCCGGCGAACTTTGTTCCGCCTTAATGGCAATCAATAACGGGATAAAAAGTATCCTATGTCCTTTTCCTGGCTCTAAACTACCTTCCTGACAATTTTCAGCTAAATCGGTTCAGCCGTTCTTGAGTTATAAGTGGAGTAACTAACACGACTTTCTTTTATATAATAGAAGAGATAAGATATAAGATGTCAGCGACTCAGGGTAATGAATAGAATCAAATAAAATGAAACTGATCTGCGGAATGCTGAAGTTATGACAATAACCCCTGGGTCACACACATTGCGAGAACATTCGGGCAACAATAGAGCGAAGGCTTGTTTGTGTGTGACTTAGCAAAATACCACCAAAGTTTAAGGGAATACTTGGCTACACACATGGCCATGGCGTGAATCGTCGGATTATCGCCATGTGTGTGGCCCAGGGGTAATAAAATTAATATTAACATTACTCTCACATAAACTAACAACTTAGTGAAACCATTTTAACGTGTTCACAATTGTACTGAGCTGATGTAATTAGTACTCTACAATGATCGTAGTGGACAAGCTTGGGCAAGTAATGAATAAAACTAAGATCTAATCTTGTAGTGTTTGTTGACTCCATCCATTGTTGATTCTATGCATTTATGTTGATTTGTCGGAGCTATTTACTTTTGTACCATTTTTGTTTTGATTGACACAATCGTGATAGATTCAATTTTGCAATCCCTTCACGTTTCGTAGTTTTGGACAAAAAAATGTAGAGCATAGCAATTTCAGTATTAAAACTGTCACAAAGATGCAGTTAACGCCCGTAGGTATTCACAAAGGATGCTTGCTTAAGTGAAGCAGCAAATCGAATGCACAGCGTTGAATAGAGCTCTGTGATTGGTTCGTGTTTCACCCTGTGCGTCCACGCGCACTGTGAGACCTCATAGTAATGTTTATGAATACGGGCGTAAAAGTTAAAGCAAAGCAACACGAAATTGAATTTGTCACTAATCATACTCGTACATTGACTAGGCTCTACAGAATAATTACTGCAATAGATTTCAATTCGATAAAGTTGTAGAGAAGCCATCATGACATTGAAACAATCACTAAAGGCTGATTTTTTTTTTTATTATTTACATGTATTAAGCAGTTAAATTTTAACTTAATTTTAAGTGATTGATTGCATGTAAACAGAATTTAGTAGCAACTTGCAACTTAACTTTCAACTTGTGTTTGCAATTTAATCTCTTAAAATTAAGTTAAAAATTAGTTACCAACTTAATACGTGTAAACCAACCTTGACGTGACATTATCCAGACTCGAGACAACAGTGCCTTGTGATTAGACTCGGCACACTGTGACTATCTTAATTATAATTTCGATTTAGAGCACTATAATTAGTACTCATTATTATACTATGGCGATTTAGGGACTACACATCTAACAGAGAACGGGCAGCAGCGCTCTCTGAAAAACATTAATCTTCTAAACTGCGATCTCCAACCCGCCTGCCAAGCTTGGGGATTATGGCAAAACTATAGTGGAGGAGGCTCATAGTCAAGCAGTGGACTGTAAAGGGCTGTTGATGTTGATGACGATGATGATGATTATACTATGGCACTAATTTCTACTCGGCTACTTTTCTCTGCAAAATGTTTCAGGGACGCTGCGTAGAGATCACATGATTTAATCTATTAATGATTGTCTGCGACAATGTTACATTCTTAATGGATTTTTGTTCGATAATAATCTAGCTAAGATTGTAAAAAACAAAATGAAGCGATCGATTGTGATTTCGTATAAAGAGTCAAATTAGGCACTGTTACCACATACTGGCATGACAGTGTTGAGTTTCTTTATAAGCTTGACACGCACAAAACAACACAGATAACAATAATTCTGTTTGGCGCCAAATTACTTTTCACGATATTTTTGCAAACTTTTGTTTTTCACGACAAGAAAAACAAATGCAGAAAACCGGTGACAAGCAGTTTATTGTGCTGAAGCTTAATTGAGTTGCATAAGTGTTCATCAGTATCTAATACGATTTGCATTCTATTTGCATGAGTAACATAACACAGAGGGAAGCCTTACCCTCGACCGCCTTTGTATGGGGTCGTCGCCTGGAATCGTCAGAAAATTGCCGCTCATTTTCACTGTTAAAAATCCACAAACACAAAACGTCAAACTTCAAGAACGGAATTCGTTATAAATAGAGCGCGAGAGTTGGCGAACGTGCGTACGCGACGGCGGTCAGTTCCCAAGTGGTGCATTATTTTATGAATGAGTGACGTCTTTAAATAGCATCCCCACCACATGTAACTATAACGTAAGCGATGGTATGTTGGACGTCTACGTTCCAATACGATTGTTACCTAAATAGACCGCATCGAAATCAGCTGCTTCCGAAAAATCTGAATCAGTTTCTTGGGAGAACTGTAAGCACGAATATTAGAGGCGTTTCAGTTGAAATCCTGTTGTTGTTGAATGAGAATTTGTTGACATTTTATTTTATTTGTAGATACTCCATCATGTTTAAGATATTTGCTAGCTAGAGAAAAGTTTTGTCTCTTGAAACGTTCAGTTATGTAAATAGAAAAGGGGAAAATAATAGAGCTATAAAAACAACCAATAATGAAACAAAACAAAATATATTTGAAATACGGATATTTATTTATTTTTTCATAAAAATTCTAAATTCAATAATGTGTTAAACATGTAACATTTACATATATGCATTTATACAAAGATATAATGCAATGTTTAGTGATTTTAATACTAAAATTGGAGCGTAACAGACTCATGATGCCAATGCATGTGTGACGTCACATTTTACACTTACAAAATAATATTTACCAAGTATTGTCAAATGGTAAGGTTATGTGTCAACACGATTTGTCATTTTGATGAGACGATGATTTTTATGTGCGCTTCAATTTTAAACTAACTCGAATCGTAATACCTTCATAAACGTGGCATAACTTAGCAACGCGTACACGTACTTGTAAAATTAATATACATCCAAATTAATACTGATTTGTTTATGTAGATATCACACGATCCCATCAAAACTTTAGCATCCCTTTCACAATACGATGGAAGTACGATTTGTAAGTAGGTATTTACAAATGGATGATCAAATGCGAGCTCATTAACGTCATTAACTATTTTTGACAATTTTGCTGACAATTGGATAGATAAATTAAAACATATCAATTTTATCAAAACTGATGCTAGTTATATTTTTGCTACTTTTAACAAATAACACTCCATTCAATGCATTAATGCCCGATTAAATAGTATAGTTAATTTGCGTTTATATAATTTTATTTCAATGGACAAAGAATGTAATATATCTAATTCAAATTTTTAAACTATTACAAATGCGATAATAGATTGAAAACGTTAATACATTGAATAGAATACTACACAAATTTTGTAACAGAAAACTACTTTTATTTCATTTAAGTGGCAATTTTTCTATAACTCTATTTTACATAGATTCAGTCGACTCAGAAATATAACATAAAAAAGTTTTCATTAGTAAAGATGAGTAAATATATAATTATAATAATATTATTGAGATTTGGACTAGACAAACCACATTCTCTATCTACAGATATGTAATCCATGATAAATGCTAATATATAGAAAATCTAACTCCCGTGTCTGTAGTGATGTGCTCCGCTACACATCGCGTATATTTTCATTACCACGAAAACTGTTTTTACTTTGTGCCATTTATTTTGCACGCAAATGAATTTTTTAGATCAAATACATACTGGGACTGGCAATTCGTAGAAATATGCACTATTTTAGTAAGTTTATTATCAACAAATGATTATTAAAAGATTTTATAAGTTAAAAGTCGCAATTAATTTTAAATATCAAAGTCGTTGTGGAAATGAAAATATACACACTAAAATTTATGTGATGCTTCAAACTGTGTTTTGATTTGGACTGTGATAGTTTAAAGTTTTTATTTTTATTAATTTATTTGATATCAATTTTGCTCTTTTAAATCAACAATTATTATTGTTTTATTTAATTATAGCCTTAACAAATAAGTTTTGAGCACTGATAGTTATAGTACAGTCTCGGTAAACAAATATAAAACGATCCAAGTATTGAGTTAGGTACACAACGTGTAAGGTTAACGAGTAAAATATTAAAATTTATTTAATTTAAAATGTCAGTGCCCTGATAATAACTTCAAAAAATAAAATATTAAAAAGGTACGAATACAATAATAAAAACAGTTAACATCTGATCCATGAATTTATCAGCTAAAACAGTATTACATAAATATTCACGACAGTTAATGATGTAAGTACCTCATTTTATAACAATATCACAATTTTCAATAATATACAATAAAAGACATAGGAGATTTTGATTACATGTTAAACAGGCCAAGCATATTAAAAGTAAGAGCAAAGATGTGATATACATATTTAACATTTTTGTTGTTATTTACAAGTCAGTAAAATACTGAAACAATATGGACCACATTGTACATTGTAGATCACACAAAACGGGACAAAAAAAGAGAGCTTTTAAATATAAAAGATGACAAGACCGTACACGTTATTAGAAATCATAGCTATACCTATATTAATTCCATTTTAGAACACTCATCACCTAACGAACATGCTTTACGTACTTCGCATTAATCCTATACACCACGCAGTAACAAAGGAAAAAATCACGCGCCATTCCAGAATGTAGTAACACTCAATAGACCCTTAACAACATTATACTCCGACTAACTCGACGAGAAGCAAGGATACAAACGAACATAGGAAATAATTTACATAAGGCCATAATATTATTTACTGTACACGCATAACGAGTAGATGATTAATTAGATAAATAATGTTGCATTATAATAAGGGTTATGGATTTATGCATCCGTATTTACGTTTGGTCCATATAAATATTACAATAATCGTGTTTTCGATACGTCCGACTCTTTAGGCGTTCAGCGCGCTTGCAAAAACGTAAACCGCGTCCGTGTAATACAAAAACTCCTATGAAACCAAAAATAAAATTTCATTATAAAACCACGCATTAGAATAAAACTCGTATACAAAATCTAAGGAATACAAAATTTTAATTATTTGGAGAGCGAATTCCTTGCACGCAAGTGTAGCCCGCTACGTGTTGTACTCGTGACGTAATCTAACAAACGAATCAGTCTTTCTAAAGAAGACGTGTGCGATTGGTTTCACAGAAGTAGATTAAAATAATCGTGTGCCGCGCTGAAGTCCTAAACGGTGTGGACGCCGCGACGCCCGCGGCCGCCTACGGTCAGTCTTTTCTGCTAATGTTTACGAAATTTGTGCAAAATATTCTACTATCCGCGTAACTTAACACAGTAATTTACTATTTACAAACGCCATCGACGAGGTACGAAATTAAATAGAGCACTGACCGGGTACCGCCGGAGCGTCGGAGTTGGATCTCCTCCGCGAGATACGTCACAGGGCTTGATTCCTCCCTTGGGGGTCCGGGGGTCCGGAGGTCCGGGGGTCCGGGGGTCCGGGTTTCCGGGGGTCCGGGGGTCCGGGTGTCCGGGGGTCCGGGGGTCCGGGGGTCCAGGGTTCCAGGGGTCCAGGGGGCCGTTTCAGGCCGTGGAGCGGGCGTGGGTGGCACGGGGTCCGGGGTCCCGGGGGTCTCACGAGGGGCCCTGGCCCGCGGGCGCTTCGGTCCTCATCTCCGACTTGAGCTTGACGAACTCGCGGGCCACCTCGTCGCTGTGCCGTTGCGAGAGTATCCGAAGGATGGTCCATCCCGTCTCGTCCATCTTGACCCGGGTGCCGAGTGGTAGCCAACACGCGCATGTGCCCTGTACATATAAATGGACATAATTTAATATTCAAGAGTTGTCGAATTCTATCAGAAAACTCATAGGCTGAGTTGCACCACCTAACTTTGACCGTAATTATAACGATAACCGGTGTTTTTTGTATGGAGTTTGACAGATTTTTGACGTTTATGAAAGTTAAAGTTAAGATGGTGCAACCCAGCCTTAGTTAGAGAAAGTAACAGTAACAACCACATGAATAATAAGAAGATAGAGTCAGTCTTTGGACGTGAAGTACGAGTCTCCCACGCACGTTGCAGAGTGACACTAGCTGTAATAATATCTAAACTAAACTATTTTTCCTGCATAACCCGAAGGTAAACTGGATGAGAATGCCTTATGGCATTAAGTTCGCCTAATGTCAATATTTTGGCATTGAATTATAAATAAATAAATATCTCTGTATAAGGAAGCCGCTAAATGAACCCCATTGAGGAGTCGTATCGGTCAGTCCCGTATAGCATGGAACGCAAGTCAACTTGGTATTTGCTAGGACCCGTGGCGTCGTCTCCTAAGTAACGGAGGCAACACCTCAGGTATTTTCAAGATTTTAGTGGGAAAACCTGTGAAGTGAAATAACCTGCCATCCCCCATAGATTAAGAGCTAGTGAACGCCAGACCTACGTCATTTTACAAAAGCTGAAAGTTTGTCAGCGTATGCTCCCAATATAGAATATAATGTTGCTGAATTATGAAGTTTGGGTCATCGTGGCTTTGGGAGCTACCCTAAAAAAACTGTTGGAACTGTCAAAACTGTCTGGCTGTTGGGGAAAATACTTCTAATTATTGTCAAAATATTATACATAAAAACAGATTTAATGGTGGATTTACTACGTACCTGCTCAGCGATATCAGCCAGCCGCATAACTGCCACGCCTACAAGCCGGTCCTCGCGCGCGAAGCAGTAGTCCCGTACGCACACATGCAGTTCAAACAGCTCCAGCTGTTCTGTCGCGCTCACCATGCTGGAAAGGAAATCGTATTTCGTCAGTAAACATCGTTATATACGCTCGGAGTTTCCCTGCGTGATCGAATCAGAAATGAGGAGATCCGCAGGAGAACCAAAGTAACCGACATAGCTCACAGAATTGCTAAAATCAAGTGGCAGTGGGCGGGGCACATAGCTCGTAGAGACGATGGCCGTTGGGGCAGGAAAGTTCTCGAGTGGCGACCACGGGCTGGAAGACGTAGCGTGGGCAGGCCTCCTACTAGGTGGACCGACGATCTGGTAAAGGTCGCGGGAAGAGCCTGGATGCGGGCAGCGCAGGACCGTTCATTGTGGAAAACCTTGGGGGAGGCCTTTGTCCAGCAGTGGACGTCATTTGGCTGAAATAAACGAAACATCGTTAATATCCCTCGAAAAATCTACACCCCCACTATAAAACCAGACGAATTTTAGCCGTTGATATCGGC